CGCCGACTGCTCCCGGTCGAAGCTACGGCCAGTCCTTCGCGGGACCCCTGAACTCAGCCCCTGCGATTTAGGAAAGCACGGTGATAACAGCCGTCGCCAGTCTCAGCCCATACGTTTGCACGGCACTCTCCATCCTGGCACGCGCGTCTTCTAACTCCCCTTTTTACCAATGAGTGCCCATTCGTTGCCAGGGGCAAGAAGATTCGCCGCGCAGGGCAAGAAGGGCACGTTCAATATTCCTGCACTTGGCATCGCCAGTCGATCCTACTTTGGCAATTAATGCATGACGCGGGCCCAGGGGCGACACCGTTTCCTGAGCGCACTCATTTCTCAACACGTTGTTGTAAACCTCGCCCATGTACTTGCGGATTGGTTCTAGCACGGCACCCAAATCGTGAATTCCCGCGGGGCTGACACCCTTCTTCGACGCATCGACAATCGCGAGGATGGCGAGACGCACGAACCAGCTGGTCGACCCAGCGCACCACGGGTTGCACTGCGTCTTGAGGCTCGGGCGACCCACCCCTGACACAATCGTCGAATGTCTCTTCGCCGGTATCATGGGAGGCAAATGGATCTGAACCGTGGCCGCCGAGAGGTGGTCGGGTTTCCTCATTCAATATCGCGCGCAGGGCTTCCGGCAGCAATCTGCGAGTCAAAGATGGAGTTTGAATCCGTCGAATCCATTAGACTCCTGCAAAACGATGGTCCTGGACCAGCCGATTGCCAGCGACGAGAGCAGATGGAATCCCTCCGTCGCCTTTCAGCCACAGAGGACTCTCGATCGCGGCCACAATACCCGCGGAGCGCAAAAGAGCATCCCCCAGCCCATCGGCTCCGATATTCGCCTCTAACACATTCGAAGCATCTCTACCTTGGCCTCCGCCTGCTTCAAGCTGGAATAGAGTTCTGCTTGTCCAGCAAGCCACGCGTTCAGTGTGGCTTGTTGCAGTTTCGTCGCCCCCAGGTCAACTTGCCCCGCCCCATCGGGTTCCCCGAGGTCTCGATCGAATGCAGTCTGGAGGCGACGCTTCGGACGCGTTGGTTCGGGGTCGACCAGCGGGCTCAATTCTGGATACTTCTTCACGGCGTCTGCCCTGCGGTGCGCGCCATCAGCAGCGACGTAAAATTGCCCGCTGCTTCGCTGCTTCGCCCGCCATGTAGCGATCATGGGCACTCTTGCCTTATAGTCGCGCGCGGCCTTCCGCCTGCGCTTGCACTTTTGTTCGCGCACATCCATTCGGCCACCTCCGGCTTGGTCAACACTGCCGCTCTGCGCCGCCCCCTCGAGCAGTGGTCCGCGCCAGCTACGGTCACTCTGTGACTTCGCAGTCCGACGACTGTCGCAAACGCCGGGCGCGGGCCTTCTGCAACCCGGACGCGAGGTCGCTCCTGGACTGTTCTGTTCGAAACAACTACACGCGAAATATGGTTCTCTGGCCCGGGGAACTTCGCCAACTCCGCAAGCGCATCCTCGGGGCTGGTCGGATCTTGCCCAGGCGAGGGCCCGATCAATTGTCTCTCGCTCAGCGCAACTACGCAAGCCGAGCTCTTCTGCGGAATGAGCGTCGCACCCGACATTCTCTGGTCAGTGACCTTGGGCCATGCCGCCGGTGGAGCGCGGCGCCCTCGGACACGCGCTTGCCGCAATGACGTCCGGGCGCGCGCTGGTTACAACGGCGCCACCAGATGCCGCGCGGAATTGCAACCGACGCAGGTCCCAGCGTCAGACGGGACCAGCGACTGAGTGCCGCTCAGTTCTTATTCACACAAGTTCGAGCAGATATCGCGGTCGGATGCCTCAACCGTCGCGACATTGACCTTACTCCACATGGCCCATATCTTTCCTTCTTCTTCTGCCGTCATCGCAACCTGTCTACTGCCCGCGGAATCCCTCCTCGTGACTGCAGGAGTATAAGACAACTTTTGAACTACGACCTGCGCCACGCATAGAACTGGGAGTGGCAAGTGCCCCCCCCCGCGGGACAGGATACCAATCTCAGACATCGGAGACTCGTCGCTCTTAGACAATTTCGTCCAGTGAACTTGTCTCGCAGAAAAAAAAAAAAACGCAGACGACCCCATGGGGCCTCTCCATCCACGTCTCGTAAACGCGCAACGCTATCCTTGCCATCTCGTTATATGCAATGCCCCCGTTAAAAAAAGCGGAAGCTCACAATGGGATCCCATCAAGTTCGCCCATTGTCGTTCATCTAACGCATGTGCCACGTTAGAAAAGACAATGCTGCCACTGTCACGCGCGATAGCGGGAGCCTCGTCACACTCTGCAAGTCACTGAACCACTTGGCATTGGCAAGCGCCGAAAGTATCAGAGACCTGGAGCGCTGCGCCACATCTTCCTTCAAACGTTTATCGATATCGGGAAACAAGACCCATTCCCCCCAAATTGGTGACGGTGGCTGAGCAGTGTCTCAAGCACGAAACCAGCAAGCCTCTGATTAGTATGATCGTGTTGATATCCTCGTTCACGGCAGACACCTACTAGCCTTCTGCCTCGCAGCATCTTTCCCTGTCGAAAAAAATGGAAGCCGCCCCCGCGGGGCTGACTCTACGGCAATGCTAGCACGCATCGTGGTGCGCTGCGGCGCACATAGAAGATTGGTCTCATCCCAAACCATAAAATTCCCGATTACGACGAAGGCAGCGTCGCAAATGGGCTTGGCCATGTCGGACAAGGACAGTCCAGCGAGACCATTTGTTCGGGGCCGAAGTATATCCTTTCGTCCGCGGGAACCACTCGTTAGGGACTCGTGGGTCTCGGGCGGAACAGGTCCGCTCGTCATCGCCCGAAACACAGCTTTCCCACGGCACATGTTCGGTCAACCGTGTCAAATGCGGTCGCAGCGTTCTGTGCCATCGCCTCGTTGGCCGTTTATCCGTCAAGGGATTAAGGCCTTTTTGCCATCCATGCGGCAATCCACTTTCCCTCCGTCCTCTCCGCCCTTGCGCGCCGTGTTCTGCGTCGCGCTAGGCACTCCTGGATAACTGGGCCTCGACCGAACACCGCTCTCATTAATCGCCGGAAGAATGGCTGCACCTTCGCAGCTCACCCATTCTTCATCAGCGCCGGCGGCGCGGCGAGTGGACTTCCACACTTCGGCGAGATCGCCCTCGAAATGAGTCCAGTTGCCACACGAAGGGTGTCCTCGAGAGATGACGAAGACACGGTAAGCCATGATGTGTTCAGAGTCCCCAAACCCGAGCCTCCGAAGATGCGCGCTCGATCGGCGTACTTGTCGATTGGGGTATTCCAAGGGCGGTCGCTGCGACCGGGGC